AGGTTTGAAAAGGTTATCTTTTGTATCTGAAAAGTTGCACAAAAGGCATCTGAAAGTTGGACTTTTTAGCAGGAAAAGGTAGAGAAAAGTGGGTCTTTCATATGTCTTTTAGCATGCAAAAAGTTGATGAATGATGAACTTGAGAATACCTTTTCTTCAAGCAAAAGATCGTCTTTTTGCAGCAAAAGGTTTATGAAAGTTAAACTTTTGAGTAGAGAAAAGGTGAAGAAAAGTGGGCCATTTGTATACCTTTTCACTTATACAAAAGTCATTTAAAAGATCGTCTTTTACACCTTTCCTAAAAAAACGAAAGGTCTAGGAAAGGTGTGAGAAGATGAATAAAAGGAGGCCTTTTGATCGCCTTTCAGGATATATAAAAGCTGATTTTTCATGCAGTGATCAAGGTCTAGAATGAAACATCATATCGACCTTTACGCCTAATTTCCACATCCAACCAGAACTGAAACATGTTTGGATACAATGTACCATGAAGTGGTAATATACTACGGAGTCTCCTAAGGGTCCTTATTTTTTAACCAATGAAGTCGCCTTCTATCATGAAGTAGTAATTCTTATCCTGTGAAGTGGTAATATACCATGAAGTATCTTAACACACGTCGTTTTCAGTGATGAGGCCAGATATGGATTTTTTAGGGTTGATGGTCGAATCCGTTTACACCGACGTGTACGAGGGGCATAAAACGATGATTGTGTACTGCCTAGAGTGCAAGCAGGGGATGGTAACGTCTCTGTTTGGGGAGCATTTCATGTCGGTGCCCAGAACCAGTTGGTTTTTCTAGGAGGCAACCTCATTCAGGATTCCTACAGAGACATTCTACAGCAAACAATGCTTTGATTGGTAAGAGTCATCTTCATGAACAACTTTGTGTACCAAGACGACTGGGCAACCCCACATCGAGGCCGACGAATCACTGTTTTTCTTCAAAACCAATGGGTTCAGCAACTGCCCTGGCCTGCAAACTCTCCAGATATGAACCCAATTGAAAAACGTTGGGCAAAAGTAACTCACACAATTAATAGCTATGGTCATCGACCGGTAAATAGTGATGAACTGCGACAGGCAAATATCACTGCGTGGAATGATATCCCCACCCAAACTCTAAAAAACGTGTCACAGGGTATGCCATGTAGGATGAGGGCGCTGCAAGCGGCTGCTGGAGGTCATACCCGCAATTACTGACTTTTCATGATTTACTGTAGTGAGTTCTTTGACTGTGTAACATATCACATATCACATCATTTTCTTTAATATCTTAGCTTAAAGTTAATACTGACATCAAACTGTTGATATGGTTTTCTGGGGGTGTTACTTTCTTTTGAATGGCATCTTATGTCAGATTTGATATCATTGACCAAAATATCTCACAACAGAAGACTGGCTGTTATTATTACTCGATGACATACTTTTTTAATGACTCAAGCCCAAAAAAATTTAATCAGCACTCGAAAATAACAATGATGAAAAATATTCCATATTAAGTAGCAACCCTGTATGCTGTAAACGTATGATAAACAATCTGATTAGATACTTAATATGACACCGGTCTGTTCAAGAAGACTTTTATTAAATTATAAAGAACTGTTATATACAGGTATTGTTGCATATGCTTCACTTGTGCTTTACATTACAGCATAGTTTTAGAAAACTGTTGCAATTATTTTCAAATACCCCAAATCATTGGATTATTAAAATTAGCAGCATAGTCGGTAAGGTGTAAAGATGAGCCCGAGTAGGTGACATTAACATTTGCAACCTATATAATGCTATACCGTCATTACCCCAATATTCAGGCTGCAGAGACGGTATGTCAGGGGAAAGGACTGGAGGGGGTGTTACTGCAGGAGTGTGTCTATGACATCGTGGTCACGAAAGATATCACTTTCTCCAACCAAGAAACATATGAACTAGGTGAGTATTAATATATAGAGAATCTCTAACACCACTCCTTGCCTCATCTGCTTGAATTAAATAAAAATTAATATATACATATACGGCATCAAAACGGTAACATACTTTGTAGATTCACGCCATATCAGACTTTTATTATTATTGTTGAATCATTCTGGCAACACGTAAAGGGTTGGATAAATATAAAGACACAATGGCACAATCAGATAAAATAACCAATATATAGAACTGAGAATATTAATGGATATTAAAAACGCATGCATTAGCTTCCATGTGCACATATTCTTTATTGCATTGTTTATTAATATCCGTGTTATTTTGTGTTATTTTAACTGCTGAATTTCAAGTAAAATATCCTTTGCTAGAAGTATACAATAATATGCAAACCTGAGTGCAAATACAACCATATCTGTGCCTGTGGTCTTATAATGTAACGTTATTGCCAGGTTGTCCTGGTCAGTGTAATGGTAAAGGGAGGTGTGTGAACAGCACTTGTCAATGTAACCACGGCTGGACTGGAACTGACTGCTCTATAGGTGGGTTATATGTCACCCTGGACAACGCCCCACATATATATAGTAGGCTTGTTAAGGGGCCAAACGCTGCATTTTTTTGTACAAATGTCTAACTTGGCATGAATGTTCCTTGGGCAAAAGAAGCAAAAAAATTATCCGTAGAGACACGCATAATTCATGCAAATTAAATACCAAAACACAATATTTCATATTTCCATCACGTTTTTGCCTAAAAACGTGTAGATTATCAAACCTGACTAAATTAGGAAAAAGAAACCCATTTTCGACATTATGGAAACAATTTGCGGCCATTTAGTGCCTCATGTAGAATTGACACATATCTTAGCAAAAAGATATTCAAAGTCTTTATGGATATTTTTCCACTTTTTTCTTTTCCTTTTTGTTTCTAAAATGCGTTTGACAAAATCACGTTTTTAAATATGTATGAAACTGTGACACCCACTGCTCTGTGCAATAATGATAATAATAATAATAATAGTGTTTTTATAAAAATTTAGATATGTTTTGAATTATAATACAAGTGGCAATACTAACGCCAATATCACTCCGGTTCATACAGGTTCCTGTGGTGCCTGCGTCAGTGGTGTGTGTGACAGCGGTTTCTGTGTGTGTACTGTGGGCTGGGAAGGGACAGCCTGTGACCAGAAAGGTAACTATAGGGAACTTACAAAACACCCGTTTACTGTATGCACTAGATTGCTCTTCTGGAGCACTCTATTTTGTATGATAGTCAAAGTTGCGTACTGTATAGCATTTATTCCCCTTTCGCTCGCCACGCCTCACCACCACACATTCCTCTGACGGCATCAGTCTTGTTAATAGGGACGGTCCGAGATAGCCTATTTTGAACATCTGCGCAGCAGATGACGTCAAACGAGACCTGGATTGGAGCGAGATTTCACGAGAGGTGGGGTTAAAATCTGCTATTGAAACTTCTCTCGCGGTCGGGCACAAGTCTATGTTATAGGATTGCATTGAGTAAAATTTGGCGTTGTCATGTTATTTGAGATAGAGCAACGCAATGGCGAATTGCCAACGTTGTGTCGTAGGGTGCATTGCAGTTAAAGCTAAGCAATAAAACCAGGAAAATGACCACGGATGACGGACACGACTGGCGAGAGAAATGAAGTAAAGAAAGAGAAGTTGGGCTTGATCAGATTAAAAGGACTAAGTGCCGACATATTTAAAGTACAGATCAGGTCGCAGTATTTTGTAGGAAGAAAGGGACCAACTGCAGACAACTCGCACCCGATACGTCACTGGCTTCATGGCATCACCGTATAGACCGTATCATCAACGGTCGAGGGCATATTAATAAGTAAATTTTGTGTGTGTAGTTTACAGGACACCATGGTTTGTTATACAGCCCTAGTACTTGTGATAAATACACTGTGTAGTCTTTTACGGTAATCAGGCCCGTAGCCAGCAATTTTAGAGGGGGGGGGTCGTTTTCTCAAAAAGTGGACCTTTTACCATAAAATCCTCAAGTACATAGATCAAATTGTACCCAGAGTGGACCTTTTCCCAGCAAAAAGGGTGGTTTTTTCGAACCCTCCCCCCCCCCAAGATGTTGAAGATTGTATGTCCTTAGTTATTATGTTGTTGACTTAATTATATCAGGAATCAACAGATGGCATTTTTGTCTGGGTGTCACTTACAGTATCAGGCATTTTCTTTATTACTTTAAAATGAAATATTTGGTTTATGAATATATATATAGGCCTATGTATTGAACTGCACTAGTAATTTAATGAAGAAAATAATTTTTCTTGCTAGTGTCATTCTTATGTTACTGTAGTGACTTTTTAATAACTATATGACACCTGTTTTTCATATCATTTACTCAGATCACAAATACAACTTCGCCTGTGATGTTGTGTTTATTTGTTGTATTTGTGTATAACTGTCAATAAAATGCAATGATTTTGTGAAAATTTCAACTTATATGTTGTCCATTTTAATACTTTCTTTTGTCACCTTTCCTGTCATTTAAGTCGGATCTGATCACAATGAAACTTACATTTTGTGAATCATTCAATGCTATCCATTAGTTTCTATAGCATCATTTTCAGAAGTAAATAAATGAAGAAAATTAACTTTATGATCAAGTTTGAGCCTTTTGAATTAGTTACTATAAATTTAGTGAAATTAAAACAAAGATGCAGGCAAGTCTAATATATATGATATGCCATCCATCAGTAAATGAAATGTCAAATGATTTTATTTTACTTCTTTATAAATAAAGTTTAATAGTAAAACATTTATAAAGAAAAAATAGTTGCAGTTATAAAGCTTTTGTTGTTCAAATGGATCTCATGAAATGACCAGTCAATGAAGAACAATAAAAAATGAACAATATCTTTAATATGTTTATTTTGCACCCACTGGCATGTTTAGACAAGCATCTCTTCAAAATTNTACTTTCTTTTGTCATCTTTCCTGTCATTTAAGTCAGATCTGATAACAATGAAACTTACATTTTGTGAATGCTATCCACTAATTTCTATAGCATCATTTTCATAAGTAAATAAATGAAGAAAATTAACTTTATGATCAAGTTTGAGCTTTTTGAACTAGTTACTATAAATTTAGTGAAATTAAAGCAAAGATGCAGGCAAGTCTAATGTTCTGATATGCAATCCATCAATAAATGAAATGTCAAATGACTTTATTTTACTTCTTTAAAAATAAAGTTTAATAGTAAAACATTTATAAAAGAAAATAAGTTGCAGTTATAAAGCTTTTGTTGTTCAAATGGATCTCATGAATTGACCAGTCAATGAAGAACAATAAAAAATGAACAATATCTTTAATATGTCTATTTTGCATCCACTGGCACGTTTAGACAAGCATCTCTTTAAAATCCCAAAGACAATAACATACAGTGACAATTTAAAAATGAAAGAGTGGATAACTATATAAAGTTCTTGACATCTACATCAGGGAAATAGTGAAAAAGGAAGATTGAAGAATATTTGCCAAAAAACAGAAGTAGGAAATTTCATATTGCAATAAGCTGGAGTTAACAATTTAAATGTAGTAATTATGATAAACTAAAAATGAAGCAATTAAGCCCTTGACAGCACTGGATTATTTTATTTACAAATGTCCAATGCTTGTAGAATGTACATGGACCTACTTTCAACATTGATCTCATTGAAAGCAAAACAGTCATGCCACTCCCATAAAGTGACAAAAAGGTTGCAAATGAATCTCACGTCAGTTGTACGTACATATTATATCAATACTTTTTCTTTATAAAGTGAAAAAAGAACAAGCCTGTAGCTCAAAAATTTTGGAAGTTCAGCTATTTTTCAAGTAAAGAAATCGCTGCTCTACTTCCTTGTGGTCTCCATATTTTAACCCCACCTCAAGGCAGATCTCGTAAAATCACGGGGAAATGTGGTCTTCTCGTTGAGAACCCGGACAACCTCTATTAACAGGTTTTATTGTTAACGACCTCTTGGTCAACTACAATGCATTTAAAAATGCATCAGCAATTAGTAAGCTTGCCAACTGATGACAGTATCTAAAATACTATTAGCTTTTGATATGATCTAAAACACCTGAGGTGACCGAGATCGCGAGCATCGCAACTATTGTCACCGAAGTTAGTAAGTTAGTCACGGAAGACCGTCACAGACAAAGAAAGATGGTCAAGGAGTGCTGCAATTTTGGTGAATCCCACGGCAACACACTGAGGCATAAAGAAAATTGCTCAACTCCGTTCAACACAACTTTCCAAAATTATTTTGTGTGTTTGCACCATGCAGCTCAGTTAAGTCTCATTGACCTTTATCCTCATTGTCGTCACAGTGTAAGGGACGCGGTGGCGCCCCTTAGCATGTCCCACGCCCCTAGGATGTCCCCCTAGGATGTCGCGGCGCCCGCGCCTAGACTATAGGATGTCGCGGCGCCCGCGCCTAGTAAGATTTATTATAAAGTATTATTATAATGAGACATTAAGGTACATATAAATAGAACAGGTGGTGGGTAGAGAGAAGGAGTTAGGTAGTGGGAATAAAGCTGTTTGGAAATCCACGACTCTTGTTGCTCACTTCTTCTCGATCTGTGAACCTAAAATCGAACCTTACAACAGTACCGCGTGACCCAGATCTGTTGCTTCATTTATGCATATTGAGGTGAGGTTTACTAAAACGCTTTTTTACTACTAATAGATTGTTTTTATAATTTTTAAATGTCGGGGATCGATTAAAACATACCTCTAGTGTATAGATTGAGTGCTGAATCTTCAAAATTCGATAGTAATGTTATATATTCTGTTTTACGACAAAAACAGCAGTTATAGCTATTATTCTGATATCTGAGCTTGTCTTCAGATCACGTGACCTCCATTGATGGCTATACTCTGTTATAATCTCTTAAGAGGTTTTATCAAAAAACCAAACTTTTTAGAAAAAAAACAGGGACTAACTTTGAATGTAAAAATGGATTCATTAACCATTGGTAAGTATGGAAAAATTGTTGTTTACTACAGAAAAATTCATTTTTTGGCCAAAACGAAGAGTTATTATCCCTTTAACGAAAATCTTAGCTGGAATGACTTGGAAAAATAATTTACGGTTAACTGACCCTTCTATCCAAACTTTAACGATATCTAACATTGGAAACAAGAAAACTATTTTATAATGCACATGTACTACCGCATCTGTGCGAAACTAGAAAACATGTACAAATTTCAAAAACGTGGTGCAAGAATCAATCTCAATATCCCAGAAAAAGAAGCCAAGAATAATCCACCAATTGAGCTATTCAAGAAACTAAACTGGCAAACAATTTATGAACGGATATAATTTAAGAAAGACGCATTAATTTTTAAATCGTAGAATGACTCTCAGCAAAATGCATGAGGGACTTAAAGGGAATTACAACCATATGTGCTACAGGCAAAATCAACCAATGAAGAAATAAGGGAAATATCTTTTTACCAGTTGGCAGACAGAAAGACATACTGACTACATTGTATAGGCCCAACATGGACTTCGGTTAAGATATGGAACTGCCTTAACTCTGAAGTTAAAATCTCCAAAGACTTGGATACTTTTAAGAAATTGTTTTTTAAAAACCAAACGCAAATTTTATGTATACAATTATTAAGTTATTTAGCTTTAGGATTTTTACTCGCACAGTGCCTTTCGTTTTATTTTCATTACTATTGTTACTTTTAATTCGATTCATTTTTACTTCATTATTATTTTAATTTCAGTAATATATTCATCTTTTATTCATTTACACAATATTTTATTCTAACCCCCCAGAGGCCCATGTTTAGTATAAGTGTATGCACTTGACATGTTTTACCCTCTTTAAATTAAGTTTATTATTATTATTATTATTATTATTATTATTATTATTATTATTATTACTTCACCATTTTATCTGATCATGTTAAAACAAAATTAAAAAATCCAAAACATAACTAGAGGATCAGAGAGGCGATACCGACTCCGGGTATTGTACCACCAGCTGCAGTAAGAGCATGCGTATGGAAAAGCAAAAGAAAGGACACCACCTCCAGTGTTGTGCTTGATAAGCTCTACAAAATGCGGTTAACAAAAGTTCTCAATATTTTTGTTAAAAATAATTATTTAAAACAAAATCAAGGGGAAAAGTAAAAGTTTAAATCCA